CCTTTCATACATACTCATGGCTAATCCTCCTTGCATCCCTAATCCACTCTGCATGTTTTCTGTATCTGGTCACAGCACACTGCGGGCTGAGTAACATGTCTTCATCAACTACAAATCTAGAAATATTCAGACTCCTTGGATATTTTCTTAGATTCTTGCACAGGATGAACAGAACCTTCCCCTAACGGATACACAGTATATAAATTTATGTGTGTTTATTTGTTTTGTACATGCATATAAACATTGTTATACCGTTTCCTTTCTTACTGCTCATTGCAAGAGAAGATCCTGTCAGGGTGTCTGCACAGGGTGAAGGGGAGGAATCCTGCAGTGCGGTGGGGGGAAGCAGAGACCCCAGAGGAGAGCACATGGCCAGCTCATCCCCAAGGCTCCTGCTGGAGGTAACTCAGATCCCCCACATGACAGTTTCAGGAACCCCCTGAAGCACTGAGCAGGACGTGGTCCCAGTACCTCATGGGTCCTGGTCCCAGCACTGTGTGGTATAGAAACATGGATGCATCCCCACTGCCTGAGGCCCTGGCTTGGCTCTAGGGCCCGCACCCAGTTATGCTTCCACCGTGACCACATAGCATGTCTGGCAACCCCCTCTTAAACTAACAGCTAATTAGATTTCTCTAATGAGAAAGCATGCTTTAACTGGCTGGAAGAGGAGGTGGGGTGGCAAGTCTTCTGGCTTCATTTTCAGGATCAACCAAAATGAGTCATTGTCCCAGCTTTCTCACAGCTTCAGACAGATTATTTATGTATTTGTTTATTTAAAGTTTGTTCACATTTCTTTTTTAATTCAAAGAGAATGAGTATAATTTCACTGGAAGAAAAAAAATCCCATTTTAAGTATTCTAGTCTAGACACAGTTAGCTTGACAGCAAGAATGTGGGTGCAGGGATATCAGAAAAATTATTACTGTTGCAAAACGTTGTTACTAGCTGTTTTTGCTATGCTATTTAAAATGAGTAAACCAGCAGCTGTTATTTTTGGATGGGGTTTATTTAGAAAAGGTCTGAGTGCAGAAAATTGAAACCCATGCTTTTGTATGCTGTGGATTTGCCGGTTGGAAGTAGCTCCCCTGTAGTAGGCAATGCAACACTCCCCCTCAGCCTTAGTACTCTCAGACTGACGTCTGCATCCGCAGGCAGATGTTACAGATGTTGAAGGAGCTGTATGCTTGACATGGAGGCACTTTTCACAGCAGGCATCAGTGACCAGGAAGAACTAATAGGATTAAAAGTCACCTCACAGAGTCAAAGGATCCCAGAATGGATGGGGCCCTCTGTGCCCCTCTGGCCCACCTTTGCTCCAGCAGGAACACCCAGAGCAGGGGGCTCAGGCCCATGGGCAAACGGCTTCTCAGAGGGAGCCCCTGTGCTCCAGTTGGTGCCCATGGCCTCCTGTCCCGGCACTGGGCACCACTGAAGGGAGACTGGCTGTGTCCTCTTGGCACTCTCCCTTCAAGCATTTGTGGACACTAACGAGATCCCCCTGATTCTTCTATTCTTCAGGGCCAGCTCTCTCAGACTCCCCTCATATACCAAAGATACTCCAGACCTTTCATCATCTTAATGGCTCTCATCACCCTAGGACCTTTTTCTTTCTTTATGGGGCATTTAGACAGCCAATGGCTGGCTGAAATCCCAGAGACAACCAAAATACTGTATCACCCAGCACCCAGGCAAACAGATGAAGTTTGGCTTTTAATGGGGCCACCAACAGCATGAGGAGAGGAGACATATAAGGCTGAACCCATGTGGAGAGTGTAGGCTGCCAAAAAGATGCCTATACAGGCCAGATTTTGGGTGAATGAACAGCACACCTGCCTCAACTCCATAGCAAGCTTTTTGGCTTATGAGTGTGTAAAGGGGCTGTTTGTCAGAGCCACAGCACAAGGAGAGCTTAGGACTGATAGCATATGGGACAGCTACTTGTCTCACTCACCAGTGCAAAATCCAGGGCTAGCTGGCACCTTAACCCTTTCTTTCAGGTGCTGGAGCAGAGTTCAGCCACATTCTCATCCCAACTCCACAAGAGGTCTGCCAGCCCAGCATCTCTCTTCCACCTGCAGCCCAACAGAGAGAAATAGATGAGAAGAGTGTGCAAGATTTCTGAGGGATACCTGATTTCCCTGGAGTCTACTGCTGCTCCCACCTGGCTCTCAGCTAATATACAGCAGCTACTTTCCATACAGTGCATTTTTATAATTTCCTATCTGTAGTGGGGGCAGTAGTGGTAGGAGGTTCTAATAACTGTTTTTACAAGACTTGGTTTGCACAGAGCCTTTTGAAGGTCACCCTGATTATTTCCTCCGGAGCAAGCAAAGCACTACATAATTATTGCAAATACCACCTGGTGAAAATCACTTCTAGTCAATCACCTTGGCATGGGGCAACTGCTGTAGCCCTTCGCTCCCACAGCAAATCAAGCAGAAGCAATGATGGGTCTCACATCTCACATCTGGACTCCTGTATTCCTCCAAATACAGTAAATTGGTGAAATGACTTTCCTGAGAGACCATTACATGAGCACCCAGCTCAGCAGAGCATGCAGAGCAGATGACACAGTGCTGAAACACAAAATTCATCCTTGTCAGGTATAGAAATGGGACCCATCCCACCAGGCAGCCCTGGCTTAATGGTTTTTGTTGTAGATCTCTGGTCCCATTTAATCAAAATTTGTGATGCTAACACACTGAGGTGAGTTGTTTCTCACGTACTTAATGCTTGAAGATGTGTTGGCACTTTTAGGAAGGAAACACAGGTCTGGAACACAGGCCATATGAGGAGAGGCTGAAGGAGCTGGGAATGTTCAGCCTGGAGAAGAGGAGGCTCAGGGGAGACCTCATTGCTCTCTATAACTTCCTGAAGGGAGGTTGTAGTGAGCTGGGGGTCGGCCTCTTCTCTCGTGTCATTAGTGATAGGACCAGGGGGAATGGTTTCAAGTTACGGCAGGGGAGATTCAGGCTGGACATCAGGAAGTATTACTTTTCAGAAAGGGTGGCCAGGCACTGGAATGGACTGCCCAGGGAGGTGGTGGAATCACCGACCCTGGGGGTGTTCAAGGAAAGGCTGGATGTTGTGTTGAGGGACATGGTTTAGTGGGAGCTATTGGGAATAGGTGAACGGTTGGACTGGATGATCTTTTAGGTCTTTTCCAACCTTGGTGATTCTATGATTCTATGATTCTGTGATTCTATGAAAATGAAGCTTAAGAGAAAGAATGATTCCGTGATATCAGCTGCATTAATTGTGTTAATAAACTGGAGAAACTCAGGAAAAAGTAATTAAAAAGATCTGGTTCTCTCTTCCAAGGATTGTATCATAAGCAATCAAAGTTAATAAGAAAATTAATTTTAAGGAAATAAGCACTCATCAAAGCATAGTGATGAGCAGCAATATAAATACATCAATGAGAAAATAACCTGGCTCGAAGGAAAACTTGTAGTGCCCCATATTTAGTAGATGGCCCCAGACACTTTGCAGTCATGCATACACAACCGCCAAATGTGCCTCAGCATTCAATGCATAACGGAAATACGTGAATTAAAGTTACCTGCTTACTTACGTGTCTTCTAAGCAGTACTGGCAAAAGTAAATAGAACACACATGACAGAGGCATCTAAAGTTACTTAAACACCAAAGAAAAAAACTTTAAGGATTTCACATGGATGGAAAGAGAAAAAAACAATACTTTTGTGCTGTGCTGTTCAACTGACTGTGCACATACCCAAAAAAGATCACCGCGTAATTCACTTGCATCACGTTTGCCAATGCGACAGGGATTTATTCAACATCAGTTTCATTACCAGCAGCAGCCAAAACAGAAACAGTAAAAATTGTCAGTGCTTCAAGTGAAGCCGACACAAGGAAGTATAATTCTGCAGCAGCACTGGAGGAAAATCAATTAATACAGATCTCCCCTCTCTAACACTAATTTGAGTAGTGTTCAGGAGGCATTTGGACAAAGTTCTTCATAACATGTTGTCATGATTTTATGACCGTTACTGGCACATCAAATCATAACATCATGTAGAGCACTGGGAGATAAAAAGTTATTGCTCCCGTTACGTAGATTGTTGACATTTCCAGGTATAACAGTCTCAGAAGGGAAGAACTTCATCGCCCAGAGGACTTTGTACTTCAGTATTCTGCTCAGAGAATAAACTAAGTTTGCTATTCTGCAAAGATTGTTGCTACAGTTTTTTCCCCTTCTCATTCCCAAGAAGGGGGATCTTCAGGTCCAGAAAGAGACTCAAGAAACTAGTCAAGAAACAGAGTCTTCAAGCTGAAAGAGAGAGTCTCCAGGAGAGAGTATGAATTGAGCGACAGTCTCCAAGCCGAGAGGAGAGGCGTCTCCTTGCGGCCTGCATCATCCAATAAATATCTCAGCTATTAAAAGAAGACGTCCTTCTGCTTGAGCAAGTGACAACTGTCTGACTACGTTGCATCCTGCCTTGCGGGATTACCTACATGAGCATGAGGGGATATGAAGAAGTGGCATAAAAAACCCACTCCCACGCTCTCATTCCCTTTTGCTCCCTTTCCCCTTTTCCCCTCCTTTCAGGGCCGGTGGGCCCGTGGGCCTGCTGTCCCCCTGTCACAGACACAGATCTAGAGATAAGACCATGACAGTGTGAAACACGTGCTGCAGTGAAGCAAGCTGCGTGAACTGGGAACTAGCAAGCGTTCTGCTTGTGTGCATAGGTAGGCTTTTATTGAAAATGCCTCTGCCTGCCGGTCCCTTGGCTGCCTTCACCCGCCTCTCAGAGGATCCCGCTCACAGTGGCTCTGCAGCTCACACCCCGCACGGGGCCCAGGAGAAGGGTTTAATGGTGGCCCACCTACACTGGGTGGAGAGCGCTGAGAGCACTGGCTCTCGTACGGCACAGCACGTGTGGAGGGCGTGTGCGTGAAGGGCGAACCGTCTCAAAAGATAGACGCCAGGAACAACACCTGCTTCTATGTTTTTATCTTTTATTGTAAGCCCCGCTAGCGGCGCCGGGTTGGCCGCCTCTTGCAGGGCAGAGGAGCGCGCTGGGCACTGCTGGCCCTCCTCTTTGTGGGGCGCAGGGACCTCCCAGCAGAGCGCTTCCTGCCCCGGCCGCGAGCGGAGGAGCCACGGCTGCGGCCCTGGTCAGCAGGACCAACTGCCTCGGGACCCGGCTCACCAGGACCCCCTCCGAAGGCCCCGCTGGAGGTGCCGGGGAGCTCCTCCACGTGGGGACCCGCGGAGCAGCTGGACGGTGTGGCGCTGGGGCCGACAGCCTCTTGCGGGGTACCAGAGGGGGCCGCGGGGCCGACAGCCTCCTGCGGGGTACCGGAGGGGGCCGCGGGGCCGTCCTCCTGCTCCTGGGTGCCGCTGGGGTCTTCGAGGCCCAGCAGCCTCCGGGCCTCCTGGCTGCACCGGCTCTCGATGGTTCCAATGAGAGCATCCACGAGCGGTGCGGTGATGGGCCCCAGGGCGTGCTGTGCGCACTGCACTAGGATGTCCCTGTCCGGCCCCACCTGGCACAGGAACGCCAGGACCATGCTCTTCAGCCAGTTGATTTTCCACCAGCGCGGCTCCCCGTTGCGGCGGAGTTCCTGCTCCAGCCAGGGCAGCACCGGGTCGAGGATGTCACGTCTCTCCCGGAAAAGTGCTGCCCAGACCTCCGGCAGGAGGCCGCCCACTCTCTCCGGCTCTGCGGCCATCGGCTCAGGGGACGGTGGCGCAGAGGGTGGAGCGGATGCCGCAGTGCCGCTGGGGCCGGTGGTGGCGCCGAAGCTGACGGGCACAGGCACTGCGGGCGGGGAGACGATGCACTCCACGTACTCGTTGTCTCCCCGCACAGAGACCCGGATGGTCTTCATGGCCGTTCTGCACAGCGGGCAGCTGTCTCTCAGCCTCGCCCAGCGCTGGATGCAGCCGAGGCAGAACGTGTGATTGCAAGGACTCGCGTAGGCGATGTCCCGTCGCACATCACGGCAGATGGCGCATGTCCATGCCTCTTCTTCTACGGCCATGGTCTTCTCACTGCAGCTGGCTGGGAGAACCAAGGATGACAAGTTGCTCTCCTTCACCGGAGCTGCAGCGGTGGTATCTCGCCCTGCAAGAGGAAGGCACGTGACGGTCACTCGCTGCGCCAGGATGTGAAAGCCCTCAGCGGGCCCTCAGCAGGAAGCCCTCCCACGCCCATGACTGGGCCGTCTCGTGCTCCTTGCTGGCACGGGGACAGGCTCCCCACGGCACGGTCCCCTGAGGGACCCACGTGTCCCCGCACCACTCACCTCTGCTGCTGCAGGGGCGCTCCGTAGGGCCCCGGCTGCCTGCTCTAGGCAGGGCCAGGGAAACAGAAGCGATACTGTGGGATCGGGCACTGAGATGCTGCAAGCAGCCCCAGGCACGACCCAGCACAGCACAGCCAAATCCTCGCTCGACCGACAAGCCTCGCAGAGCTGCTCAGCAGGGTCCAGGAACGAGCCAGACTGAGGCAGGCTCTGCCCGCACCCCACTATGAGCACTGAGCGCTAAGCAGTCACAATCTGCCATGCGCTGATGTCACAGCCTGTTGCTCAGGGACATCCCCATGGGCTGCCTGCCCCCACCGCCCCCACCCCACCCGTGTTTCAGATGTTACCTTCTTTTCCTTTTCCTACCTTGCTCTACCTTCCCCTTTGTTCCTGCCCTCCTTTTATGCCTTCTTTTGTTTGACATGATTGCACCGGTCTTTCTTTTTCTTTGATTAAAACAACTCTCATTTATGTATTAACACAACTTTGATTGCGTTTGTATTTCCTCCGTTTCGTCACTAGAAAACTGCAGATTTCTCACTTACGTGTTACGTAGAAATCGGGTTTGGCATTCTCCTCTTCTTCCTTCAGGAAAGCCCGGTCGATCTTTCCCTCGTTCCTCTTCTGTCAGCGTTTTCTTGGTGCTTTTTGGGAGTCTCTTCCATTATCAGCTTGGGAATATCCTTCTTTCTGAGTGTCGCGTCCCACCTGTGAGGAGGGGGGGTGTGTAACCTTCATGAATTCCTTTTGGATGGCTTAAGGTGAAATAACACTCACGGTCCCTACTAAGCATCAAGTTTAATGGGGAATTTACGTAGAACAGCTATCCTATAGGGTTGGCCCTCTCACAACAATCTACCTATATCTACCTAAGCTGTGCAATTTTAAGGGAAATCAGAGTAAGCCTTGAGTTTCTTAACAACTTTTGTGAAACCTCATCTTAGCAACTTTAGGAGGAAAGAGTGAAAGGGGGACTCAGGGACGGAGAGAGCTCACCAGTCCTGGATCCTGTGTCTGACCTGCCAATGGGCAGGTGTGTCAGGTGTGAAGAGAAAGGCTCCCCCTCACCCCCCGGAATTGTACATGTCCTTACCATAGGCCCCAGTACCTGGACTCCTGGAGCCTTTGCTTGTCCCGGTTCCAGAACGCTGTTGAGACGCCTATCCAATTGAGAGAAGTGACATCAGGCCGTCTCCTGTGGCTTGAGAGTCTGTCGGTGTATTGTCAGGGCTCGCACTACAGTCACTTGGGCTCGTCCCTCACACTGAGGTGACCGATTTTCCCTGGCAATGCCTGAGGGAACAAAGCTGCCCTCATCATAAAAGAAGACAAGTCTGGGGCTGCCTGAGGAGCCTGGGAGGCATCCCTGGGTCCCAGCGAGATTCTTTCCACAGTCCTCAGGGAACTGGGAGTTGATAAGCCACTCTCTATCAGACTTGAACAGTAATGGCAGTCAAGATGTCCCCACTGACAAGAAAAGAGAACGCTACACCCATTTTTAAGAAGCTTGTGAAGAAGGACAGTGACCGGTACCTCCTACTCCTGGCCCCTGGCAGCGTGGTTGGCATCACCAGCAAGAAGGCAGATGTCCACAATGTGTAAACGGTTGATGTGCACCTCTGTCTCGTTCTTCCTCCCCAGCTCTGGCACAGGCTGTGCGGACATCCATGGTCAGGGTGATAAAGGGCATCCGTGTTAACAAGCCCTGAGTCTCAGTTATGACTGTATCGCATGCCGACTGATAAGAATTTGACCCGATCTGCAGGGGGTCTGCCCAGGTGAGTGAGAGCCTGCGTAACCAGAATTCCAGAAATCCTGTGCGGCTGTAAGCTGTGCTGAGTCCTAGAAATTTGCAGCTCACGTACAAAAGTGCTGTGCCACCCAAATACATCAAAACAACTGTCAGGCAAGCTTGGTGGATACCATACTTCTGGGAAGAGGTGCAAAATAGAGATAGACTCAGGACTGAGAAGTGGACTTGAACACAGGTGGTACTGCACACTTTGTCCATGAGTGTGTGTTGTGGGTGTATAACTTTTGTTACCGGTATTGCACATCATAACACCGTGTAGAGCACTGGGAGTGAAAGAGTTAATGCTCCAGTTCCGTGGGTTCATACTCTCTCCTGGAGACTCTCTCTTTCAGCTGGAAGACTCTGTTTCCGGGTCAATATTTCTGGGTGTATACCTGTCCCAGAAGGGAAGAAGAACTACATCCCCCAGAAGACTCCGCGTTACCCCTTTCTGTTCAGAGGGAAAGATAAAACTGTTTGCAGATCACGAGAATGCCTCTTTTCCTGTTCTGCTCGTCCCGACAGTGTGTGTGCTCCTTAGTCATCTTTTGCCTTCAGCATTAGAGTAAGGCCTTCAGTTTTCGGACACCCTGACTGTACTCTTCATCATCTTGCTCAGTGTCTGCATTTATAAGATTTTGCGGTAGCATTCCCCAAAGCAAGAGAATACTGAGTGGTGGGGAATGTGGAGGGACTCGGGAGAGACTTTAGAAAGATGGGCATCCCGGGTGTTGTGGGACTTTACTCCTGAACACCTTCAAGATCCTGAGAGCCCAGGCAGATATTTGAGACTGAGATGTTGTGGCTAAGGCAGATCCGAGGAGGCACAAATTCTTGGGGGCCTGGATTATGCTTATTGGGCCTAAATCAATGCTACCCCAGAGAGGGAGAGAGTCTCTGAAACAGTGCAAGAGAGTCTCCAAGCCGAAAGAGAGCATCTCTGAGGCAAGAAGGGGGATCTTCAGGTCCAGAAAGAGACTCAAGAAACTAGTCAAGAAACAGAGTCTTCAAGCTGAAAGAGAGAGTCTCCAGGAGAGAGTATGAATTGAGCGACAGTCTCCAAGCCGAGAGGAGAGGCGTCTCCTTGCGGCCTGCATCATCCAATAAATATCTCAGCTATTAAAAGAAGACGTCCTTCTGCTTGAGCAAGTGACAACTGTCTGACTACGTTGCATCCTGCCTTGCGGGATTACCTACATGAGCATGAGGGGATATGAAGAAGTGGCATAAAAAACCCACTCCCACGCTCTCATTCCCTTTTGCTCCCTTTCCCCTTTTCCCCTCCTTTCAGGGCCGGTGGGCCTGTGGGCCTGCTGTCCCCCTGTCACAGACACAGATCTAGAGATAAGACCATGACAGTGTGAAACACGTGCTGCAGTGAAGCAAGCTGCGTGAACTGGGAACTAGCAAGCGTTCTGCTTGTGTGCATAGGTAGGCTTTTATTGAAAATGCCTCTGCCTGCCGGTCCCTTGGCTGCCTTCACCCGCCGCTCAGAGGATCCCGCTCACAGTGGCTCTGCAGCTCACACCCCGCACGGGGCCCAGGAGAAGGGTTTAATGGTGGCCCACCTACACTGGGTGGAGAGCGCTGAGAGCACTGGCTCTCGTACGGCACAGCACGTGTGGAGGGCGTGTGCGTGAAGGGCGAACCGTCTCAAAAGATAGACGCCAGGAACAACACCTGCTTCTATGTTTTTATCTTTTATTGTAAGCCCCGCTAGCGGCGCCGGGTTGGCCGCCTCTTGCAGGGCAGAGGAGCGCGCTGGGCACTGCTGGCCCTCCTCTTTGTGGGGCGCAGGGACCTCCCAGCAGAGCGCTTCCTGCCCCGGCCGCGAGCGGAGGAGCCACGGCTGCGGCCCTGGTCAGCAGGACCAACTGCCTCGGGATCCGGCTCACCAGGACCCCCTCCGAAGGCCCCGCTGGAGGTGCCGGGGAGCTCCTCCACGTGGGGACCCGCGGAGCAGCTGGACGGTGTGGCGCTGGGGCCGACAGCCTCTTGCGGGGTACCAGAGGGGGCCGCGGGGCCGACAGCCTCCTGCGGGGTACCGGAGGGGGCCGCGGGGCCGTCCTCCTGCTCCTGGGTGCCGCTGGGGTCTTCGAGGCCCAGCAGCCTCCGGGCCTCCTGGCTGCACCGGCTCTCGATGGTTCCAATGAGAGCATCCACGAGCGGTGCGGTGATGGGCCCCAGGGCGTGCTGTGCGCACTGCACTAGGATGTCCCTGTCCGGCCCCACCTGGCACAGGAACGCCAGGACCATGCTCTTCAGCCAGTTGATTTTCCACCAGCGCGGCTCCCCGTTGCGGCGGAGTTCCTGCTCCAGCCAGGGCAGCACCGGGTCGAGGATGTCACGTCTCTCCCGGAAAAGTGCTGCCCAGACCTCCGGCAGGAGGCCGCCCACTCTCTCCGGCTCTGCGGCCATCGGCTCAGGGGACGGTGGCGCAGAGGGTGGAGCGGATGCCGCAGTGCCGCTGGGGCCGGTGGTGGCGCCGAAGCTGACGGGCACAGGCACTGCGGGCGGGGAGACGATGCACTCCACGTACTCGTTGTCTCCCCGCACAGAGACCCGGATGGTCTTCATGGCCGTTCTGCACAGCGGGCAGCTGTCTCTCAGCCTCGCCCAGCGCTGGATGCAGCCGAGGCAGAACGTGTGATTGCAAGGACTCGCGTAGGCGATGTCCCGTCGCACATCACGGCAGATGGCGCATGTCCATGCCTCTTCTTCTACGGCCATGGTCTTCTCACTGCAGCTGGCTGGGAGAACCAAGGATGACAAGTTGCTCTCCTTCACCGGAGCTGCAGCGGTGGTATCTCGCCCTGCAAGAGGAAGGCACGTCACGGTCACTCGCTGCGCCAGGGTGTGAAAGCCCTCAGCGGGCCCTCAGCAGGAAGCCCTCCCAAGCCCATGACTGGGCCGTCTCGTGCTCCTTGCTGGCACGGGGACAGGCTCCCCACGGCACGGTCCCCTGAGGGACCCACGTGTCCCCGCACCACTCACCTCTGCTGCTGCAGGGGCGCTCCGTAGGGCCCCGGCTGCCTGCTCTAGGCAGGGCCAGGGAAACAGAAGCGATACTGAGGGATCGGGCACTGAGATGCTGCAAGCAGCCCCAGGCACGACCCAGCACAGCACAGCCAAATCCTCGCTCGACCGACAAGCCTCGCAGAGCTGCTCAGCAGGGTCCAGGAACGAGCCAGACTGAGGCAGGCTCTGCCCGCACCCCACTATGAGCACTGAGCGCTAAGCAGTCACAATCTGCCATGCGCTGATGTCACAGCCTGTTGCTCAGGGACATCCCCATGGGCTGCCCGCCCCCACCGCCCCCACCCCACCCGTGTTTCAGATGTTACCTTCTTTTCCTTTTCCTACCTTGCTCTACCTTCCCCTTTGTTCCTGCCCTCCTTTTATGCCTTCTTTTGTTTGACATGAATGCACCGGCCTTTCTTTTTCTCTGATTAAAACAACTCTCATTTATGTATTAACACAACTTTGATTGCGTTTGTATTTCCTCCGTTTCGTCACTAGAAAACTGCAGATTTCTCACTTATGTGTTACGTAGAAATCGGGTTTGGCATTCTCCTCTTCTTCCTTCAGGAACGCCCAGTCGATCTTTCCCTCGTTCCTCTTCTGTCAGCGTTTTCTTGGTGCTTTTTGGGAGTCTCTTCCATTATCAGCTTGGGAATATCCTTCTTTCTGAGTGTCGCGTCCCACCTGTGAGGAGGGGGGGTGTGTAACCTTCATGAATTCCTTTTGGATGGCTTAAGGTGAAATAACACTCACGGTCCCTACTAAACATCAACTTTAATGGGGAATTTACGTAGAACAGCTATCCTATAGGGTTGGCCCTCTCACAGCAATCTACCTATATCTACCTAAGCTGTGCAATTTTAAGGGAAATCAGAGTAAGCCTTGAGTTTCTTAACAACTTTTGTGAAACCTCATCTTAGCAACTTTAGGAGGAAAGAGTGAAAGGGGGACTCGGGGACGGAGAGAGCTCACCAGTCCTGGATCCTGTGTCTGACCTGCCAATGGGCAGGTGTGTCAGGTGTGAAGAGAAAGGCTCCCCCTCACCCCCCGGAATTGTACATGTCCTTACCATAGGCCCCAGTACCTGGACTCCTGGAGAAGTGACATCAGGCCGTCTCCTGTGGCTTGAGAGTCTGTCGGGGTATTGTCAGGGCTCGCACTACAGTCACTTGGGCTCGTCCCTCACACTGAGGTGACCGATTTTCCCTGGCAATGCCTGAGGGAACAAAGCTGCCCTCATCATAAAAGAAGACAAGTCTGGGGCTGCCTGAGGAGCCTGGGAGACCATCTTTCCCTCGTTCCTCTTTTCTCTGCATTTTCCTGTTCTTTTTGGGAATCTTTTTCATTATCAGTTTAGAGTTAAATTAAAACTGTTTGCAGATCACAAGTTGTATCTATTCTTTTTCTCCTCTCCGAGTACCATGCTCTTAATGTATCCCAAAGCTCTGATGAGACACATCTTTAGCCGAAATGTGTTTTTTTTAATGCAGCATTCATCATTTAATCACCTAA